CGGCGCTGCGGGACCAACCCAGCAGCACCCCAGCTGCTCTGCCCCAGGCGTGTCCGACGCTGTTGAAACTGATCAGTTTCAGCAGCGGCTGAATCTGGACGCCAGTTCCGACTTACATACAAATTCAACTTAAGAACAAACCTACAGTCCCTATCTTGTACGTAACCCGGGGACTGCCTGTACTTAAAAACTATTATGTCCCCTCTGTCTTCTCTTTTCCAGACTAAACAATCCCAGTTCTTTCAACCTTCCCTCATAGGTCATGTTTTCTACACCTTTAATCATTTTTGTTGCTCTTTTCTGGATCTTCTCCAGTTTGTCCATCTTTTCTGAAATATAGTGCACAGAACTGGACACAATACTCCAGCTGAGGCCTAATCAGTAAGTGACTCCTGGCTGTATAGCTAATGACTGCTTCAGATAAAGGCTATATTATTACAGGAAACATCCTGCTTTCATGAAAATCAGTGGGAACTTTCCCATTGACTTTAATAGGAACAAGATTTGGCCCTCAGTACACGTAATGGTAAAGGGCTCCTTAGCTCCTAATGGTTCAAACGCTTTAGCATAAAAACAAAATGCATAGAGTTGTGTTTGGTAAATCATCATGGTCTCCTCTGCTAAACAAGATATCCCACGGGTCTCATCGTGCCCTGCTTATGGCGAAAACAAGAAAAGTGTGAAATGAAAGTAATACAAAGGTCTCCTAGCACTTCTTAAGACAGACAACCTGAAAGTTTTGCGTATTTAGTGGAAAGGTGATAAATGAGCCCATAAGGATCTTCTCAGCTTATTTCAGTTTGCTCACGTCTTTAAGTGGGGGCTATAGCTAGTAGGAATAATTTGCAAAAAGTGCTAGGCACTTATGCTGAAGTACTGTGAATGTTTATAAGATACTTTTTCATCATTAATGAATAAACCATGTTTTGTTCCAAAGAAACTCTTTTTAGTTACTTTAATCAGCTACTGTTCCAAGCTTCCAAAGGGGACAACTTGGCAGGATCCAAACCCTAATGAAGTACTCACTGTTGATACCCGGGAGGCTATAATCCTGGTCCTGGTCAGACAGTGGGAAAATTGCTGAGTTTCACCTCAGGAAAATGTTGATTGTGCCAGGAAAGTGAAATCTGCCTGGAATAGGATTGTTTTCCATAACACAAAAAGTGAGGTGACTGATCAGAAGGATGATATACTGCAGAGTGACCATGGGCAGGGAGGAGGGGCAGTGAGTGCAGGGAACAGCTATACTGCCAAGCTAGCTCTGGGGGCAGCTGCACCAGCAAGAGTGGCCAGCTTTGCCCCCACCCTCTGCCCTGAGCCTCTTCTCAACCCCAGCCCTGACTCCTGCACCCCTCACTTCCCTGGCCTCTTGCCTTGAACCCCCCATGTCCCTAAGGGCAGTCCTGACTTCTGTACCCTCCCCCACAGCACTAGCCCCCTACCCTGGATGACCTGGGCAATGTCGGGTAAGTCTTCTAGTACTGGCATAAAGCACAGCTTTGCCACTATAGCTATGTTCACATCAGGACCCAATTTAGTATCTCAATATACTTAACACCAAAAAGCATTCCTCCTACACATGTAGCCCTAGTACATATAAACTACTTCTGTGGGCAGCTATAATAGTACCTGACACAAGAGCAGAGATTAAGTGACTTTCCCAGTGTCATTCAGTCTCTCTGGGGGAAAAAAAGAGGAATTGAACCTTGGTTTCCCAAGTCCCAGTTCAGTTCCCATCTGTAGAAGCTGAACTACCTTTCTACTCATTTAGGCTATGTCTAGACTACAGGTTTTTTTTTAAAAAAGTGGCCTTTTTTTAAAAAAAACTTCATGTGCATCTAGACTGCTGCTGCATTCTTTCGAAATTAAAAGAATGCTGCGTTTTTTTCAACAGCAGTAAGCCTCATTTTATGAGGAAGAATATCTTTTTTTCAAAGGAGCTCTTGAAAAAAAGCATTCTTGACTGCAAACAGGGCTTTTTCAAAAGAGAGCATCCAGATTGCCAGGGTGTTCTCTTTCGAAAAAGCAGATTGCTTTTTCAAAAAAAGTTGTAGCTGTCTAGGCGATCTCTTTTGAAAGAAGCTTTTTCAAAAGATTCTTTCAAAAAAGCTTCTTTTGAAAGAAGCATGTAGTCTAGACATACCCTTAGTTAGATGTCCAGATTCGACGGTTTCACCTTAAATGTGAGCAACAAAGCCAAAAAATTGATTGCATAGAACTTGTGGGTAGGACCCCAGGCAAGTTGATTTTGTTTCCATTGACAACTCATTTTTAAATGTGTTAAATAGGCATAATTAATTAAAAACGTGGGCCCAATTGTGACACAAATTGCATATCCATTTTTATATATAACTATCTGATTTGCATATGCATTAATAATGATAACTGCATGGGTGAATGTCAGGCTCTGGTGATCAAATTTTAAAAATCAGACTCATGGTTGTCCGTCATTTTAGGTGTCTTTCCTGAACATTGCAGCAGTGAGAGGACAAACCTGAATTACTACTGAAAAATCAGATAAGGGCCAGAGAACACACTGGCTTCATTTGTTAAATAGTATCAACTTGAAATGTAAGCAATTAAAATATAATATTTTCTTGGTTTTTCTAAATATTTTCCCTCTGCTTGCTGTGTGAAAGACTCATTCAAACAACAGGATATGCTGAGTAAGCAGTTATGTAACCATGACTGTGTAACTATGAAATAGACACTCTCTGTATAGTCAAGTAAACTGAAAAGAATAAAGATATTTTTCTCTCTCGTGCATAGTAACTTTAAAACATAACACAGCAGTAGGTACAACCATATTGTATAATGGCACTGTAACTTCTTAATTGTGTGAGGTCTCTTTAGGAGTGGGAAGCTTTTCTTTCCTATTAGGTATGGGTGTGACTTCTTATGAATAGGAGGAGGAGCTCCAACCCTCAGGACCTGAAAACACAACCTCTGTTCTCCTCAGTTAAGGAGAACTCAACCTGGGTCAGGACCAGAAGAAGGTTAGTACTGAGATTTGCATAAAAAAAAATTGTTTTACCCTAAACTGTTTGATCTGCTGGTTTCAACAAAGCTACTTTTAAACACTTTGGCAATGTGAAATCTTTACTATACTTAGCCTGTACCAAAAGCTGTTCAAGAGCTCTTTCATTGCTATGCGGAGGAC